GGAGGCTCCGCCTCTTAAATATAGCCTAATAGTGTTGCTAGGGGCGACAAACCAATACCATCTTATTTTACTGTTGGGTTCACCGCTGTGTCTTTTGCAACATGATTCTTCCACTTTTGGCGGTTGTTTGCTTTCCGTAGTGTGCATTTTATTCTGTAAGTGTTTTATGGCGCTCGCAACTGCATAAGGTCATCTAAGCGCGCGCAACACATTAAACATTTTCAGTTGGTAGGAAATTTTTAGTTTTGTCTGGGTGGTGGCCGAAGCCTACTCTTCTCGATTTTAGACCGCCAAGGGATCTTTAACGTGCGCAACTCAACTTGCAAACGGGACCTCCATGATTTTTCGCCCTTGTCCGAGAAGGCTAGGTGTAGATCTTTCCTACCAGAAGATCAGGGGTGTGGCTGAAAGACGGCAGTAAGAAGGAGCCAAGCAGTAGCAGTAGAAAGGCTGCAGAAAAGGCCAGGAGTCCAGGAGATGGGGCAAAGGAGGTGAGGGGGGTCTGGGCGGAAAGTGGAGACACAAGTAGACGATTGAACATTGTTAAAGAGTAGGAAAGGATTTGAAAGGAGAACAGTTTTAGAAAAGAACTTTTTTCTGTCTCTATCCAAATTCGAACCCGTGACCCATTGAATAAGAGGCGAACACCTTAACCCCTAGGCCACGAGAGCCCCCGTTTCCGTAGTATGATGGTCCAGTCACGGCTAGTCCACACTTTATCTCTCCGTTTTAGTTGAAATTTTAAAAGCTTTGCACTTTTTTTTTTTTTTTTTTTTAGATAAGTACGTTTAATTGTCTCAATTTAAGCATTGAAACGTCCCCAAGGTCGAATTAATATTATTATTTGTTCGACGTTTCGTTGAAATTAGTCCAAATATAGACCACTTATTGCCCTTTTAATGTTGGTTTTTTTTTTTTGGTAAGAAATATACATCCTGTATTTTCCCCAAGATTGACAATCGACATTTAACAAACTCTTCCTTTTCCCTTTCCCTGATTCTGAAAAACAAGAAAAATATGGACCAAGAAGTCAAAGACTAACACAGCAACGACAACAACAACAAAAACAAGAACAAGAACAATAACAATAACAACAACAACAACGACAACAACAACAACGATAACAACAACAATAACAACCACAACAACTTAAAATTGGACTTCATCTTCCTGTTTTCCCCGGTATCCGTTTAATTACTCCTGGAATTATTCTCTTACTTCCACCAACCATTGTTCATACACCCTATTTGAACTCAAGATACCCCTTTCCCTCCCCTCCCCCCTCCCCCTCCCGTGTTTTCCTCCGAGAGTTTCAATCCTCGTGTTCAAGAAGTCTGGAAAATAGAGTAACCTTTTCTGTATCAGACGTGGCGCAAAGCTTATAAGCCATCCAATTCTCTTGTTCACAGATGTGACCGGTGAAATGAGGACTGCACTGGACAGCTTCGGCTTTGCGGACTTCAGGCCGGGCCAGGAGCACAGCATTACGCGCATTCTTCAAGGTAAGTCTCTCCCCGTCTCCACCCCCACCCTCTCTCTGTTGTTGGCGTTGTCCGATATTTCTCCCCACGATATGTTCCCCTGTTGTCGTCGTCGCTGTTCTATATACCCCCCCTTCCCCCCACCTTTTCCCCTATTGTCGTCGTCGTTCTATATACCCCCCCCACCTACCACACTCCCTCCAATCACGTTCTTGTAGGTTTTGGTCTTCTTTTCGGCTCCCCCTTTCCCCCACCCCAATCTTGTCTAAGGTCCATCTATCTTCTCCCCCC